CAATGTTGTTTCTGGCATTATTCAGATCGACACAATTTTTCAGGGTCTCGACTAGTGTGCGCAATACGATGCTGTAGTTTTCTTCTGACACACAACCTTCCTCGCTTAATTCGATGGCTCGACTACACAAATCGTTATAACGCTGAACTCTGGTTTGTATCTGGTCTGCTCCTTCACCAGCCATTACTCCACTCTTAGCATCTTTTGTCCACCTTTTCAAAATATAACGAGGTGGGATGCTGGCGAAACCACACATCTGCAGAATCATCAAGGCATGTCGACAGAGAAACCCTTTGTATTCAAACATACGGCAGAAACAGCAAAGTTCTGACTTAGACTTGCTCCATGTAACAAGAAAGTAATCGTCTTTTTCACAGTCCTGAACTCTAAACGTTTCCATATTTTCATCTTCTTTTTCCTTTCTAGGATGGCAAGCAACAACCCCCAAGACCTCGACTTGAAATTTCTTAAATATCGTGTGGGTGTAGGTTGTTGCCATTTGCTTCTCCCAGGGCGAGGGAGACTTCAATGCAGGTTGCTTATGGCAAGTATCAAAATCTGCAACAGATTCATCTTCATACCTATTCTGCAGAATTGCACCATACTGCCTCAAGAACTCCTTCAGCGTGATTTTCTTATGAACATACTTATCAAAGAAAGCGTTTACACTTTCTGATCGCTGAGATGTCGACATTCCCGCCAGGAACACATCACTCATAAAAGTGGGCACCCATTTTTGGCGATGTTCATGCAACCACAGCAGCCATTCATCATTCTCAAGTCCAAATTGGCTGACCATTTTCCACCATCTCATATCAAACTCATCATCTGTCCAAGATCTGAAGATGCATTTGTTGAATTTCTGCAAGAAATTCTCATGCCGCTTCATCACATGGGAGAAATATTCAGGAATCTTTTCTAACACATGCCATAATGCAAAGCAATGACGAGTGTTTGGTAGGAGCTCTGAAACAGCGGCCATCAAGAATTTGTCTTGATCAGTAAGTATAACATTAGGAGCTCGACCACCCATGGCTCGAAGCCATGTTTTTATCAGCCACACAAATGTCTCGTTTGACTCATCAGCAACCAATGCACAGCCAAGTAACATAGGCTGAGAGTGATGATTCACACCAATGAATAAAGCAAGTGGCAACTTATCGTTAAACTTGACATAAGTAGTATCAAAGGATACAACATCACTGAAACTCAAATAATCATCTCTACTCTTAGCATCAACCCAAAACAGATTTCTCAAACGTTGCTCCTCATTTAGGTCTATTGCATAAAAGAATTTGGGGTTTTCTTTCTTGATACGCTTAAAGTACTCAAGCAGTACTTGTGAATCTCCTTCTTCCAAAGCCAGATACCGACCCTTATCAACGTGATTGTTGTCATCGTTCTGAAGAAGAGGCCCGATATTCTTATAACCCCCAGACTGTCTGGACATCTCAACATACATTTTCCTGGTTCGTTCACTAACAGCGTGCAAAATATCAATGTTGTTCTTCTCAGCTAACTTGACATTCCTCTGAATCCGGAAATGATAAGCAAGGGCAGGTAAAAGCTCATGATTATGATCCTTTATAAACTCATGAATTATCCATTTCCCATCGGCTCTCCTCTTCACATGCATACTTGCCTTGCAATCTGTTTTCTTCACACTCGATCTTCGACTACTACTACCACTCTCAGACTCAGGAGTCACACCATATCTAGAACAAGCAAACTTGGCATCAATGAACTCTTTAGTCTTCTTAGAGCGTCGGCTGTTTTTAATCGACGTAGTAAAACCCATAGATTTAGCATATTCTTGATAAAACAGATACGCTGCATCATTAGATTCAAAGTCTATACCATTTCGTGGCTCAAGATCCAGAACACCACTAAAGCCAAGATCTCCTCCAGCTTTGAGATCATCAACAATTCCTACATCTCTGTTGCTATTCGACTCAACCATAATGCCAACCATACATTCATCCCCTGCATCACTAACCTGATTCTCTTGCAAATCCATCCTCAAGTTAGCCACATTCGGATTCACTAACACACTCAAAAGCAACTATCCCACCATTGGCTCCCATGAAACTGGAAACTAAAATCTTTCCACTACATAATCTACCTTAACACCTGAAAATTGGCAGAATCAAAACTTCATAAGAACCATTGAACAGTGCTTATATCCTCTCAACCAAAAAGACGAACTTTCGAAACATACTTAATAGTACAATAGTTTCGATTCTGAGCCCAAAAAAAAAAGATTTTTTTTTTACAAAATCGGTGAAAGAGCTAAACTTTCAACAGTATCAGCATCAAAGATAAAGACTTTAGAGGATGAAACCTGAGAATTCAAACTAAGAAAGCATGAAATTTAAGAAATTTCAAGCCTTGAGGGATTGCTCAGAGGTCAGAGCTTTTGCTCTTGCATTTTCCCGGCCACCCAGAGAGGGACAAAGTGGGGGGAGAAGGCAAAATTCTAACGTCAAAAGAGCAAAGCAAAGGAGAACACGAAGCAGGCGAGTGGGAGAAGCAAAGCGAGTGAGGAACAAAGGAGCGTGAGAGATGAGAAAATCTAGGGTTCGTTTTTTTTTGGAATTTTTAGGGATCTTGAAGATTGTCTTTTTTTTTTTCTTCTCTTTCACTCGCCTTTTACTCGTTTGACACACAGCGTTTGTTCTCGACGCGATTTCTTCTTCAGGCGCGTCTGGCGTTTTAGGCGCGTCTTTTTTTATTTGTTTAAGCGTTGCGTTTTCAATTTCGGCGCGGTCAAGAGTAACATATACAGTATGAGGTTTTTTTTTTTTGTAAACAAAAAAAAAATATAGAAATAAATAATAAAAAATCATTTAGGAGGTGAATGTTGTTTTTATGTGGTTGACCTGGAGTAATTTGATTATTCTGTTACCTTATTTTTACTTAATTTGTACAGTGATGTACTGATGTACTATATATATATTTGGATAATTGGATTGGTTTTTAAAAAAATACATATATTGGAAATATTTTTTTTATATTGATTTAAGGTTTTAATTTAATTGATTTATAAATATAAATCTTTCGGAAATAACCACATGCGTTCACCTATCCTTTAAGATTTAGAATGTTTATTAATTTTGAAATCATACACATAAAATTTTAAATAACATAGTTTACTCATAAATTTATATTTTATTTATTTATTTAAACTTTAAAAATGAAAAACATGTGACTGCGGCAAAAAAATTAGAGTTTTAATAAATTTAAATACGATTTTAATTAATAATATTAATAACTCGTTAAATAAAAAACATGTGATCCCGACAAAATAAAATAAAATAACAAATTTAATAACACATGATTTTGTTTTAGATTTCTAAATCACTTTAAAATCAA